GTTCCGTATCTGCTTTCTTTCCCACTACTGTCATATATTTAGCAGCTGGCACAAGAAACAAAGTCTGATTGTAGTACACCCAACCCTCTTGACTCTACTATTGATCAATTTGCATAAGTTAGTTGGCAAAATCCAATTCATATGGGCACCAGTGAAATAGCTACAACTAAGGAACATTTAACTTTGACTGCAATACAAATTTTTTTTAAAAAAAATCAAAAGTAGTATAATTTAAATACTCATAACTAATCAGTTAATCTGTTAAGCATAGTGCAGAATATAATCCTCAAGTTATGACCAACCATTTAATGACCATTTGAGTTAAATGGTGTTGAAAAAAGTGACTTGCATTTGGTCCCTGTGGTCACATGATCAATATTTGAGTGCTTAGCAACTGGCATGTATTTACAATGGTTGCAATATCCCAAGATCATGTGATTTCCATTTGCAATCTTCCCAGGGGGCTTCCGATAAACAAAGTCAAGGAGGCAAGCTGGAGTTGCTTAACAACAGTGGCAAAAAGGTTGTAAAAATGGACACAACCACATTACTTAACAAACACATTGCTTTGGGATGGATATTCCAATCCCAAGTGTGGTTATAAGTTGAGGACTACCTGCACTGAACATATGACCACAATATCTTATATAACAGTGTGCTAAAATAGAACTAGAAATTCATGAACTACAGACTACATGTGATCCCTGAGACATTATTTTTGTAGGTTACCTGCACTTGCTTGGATTTCAGCTTACATGAAAAACTTACATTCAGCTTACATTAAACATAAGGACTGCTTGCATAGATTGGTTTGTAAAATGCTGAAGTCTCAAATACCTGCAAACTAGAATGACCTTTCATTTATTATAATTTTGAGATTTACAGTCTGAAACTCATGTCCTTCAGTGATAATGCATTAGTTTTAGTGATATTATATGCTTACTGTTCCTATTAATGGATAAGAGATAAGTGCATTTTGTTTAGCTATACAGATGATAGTCAGAGGTTCAGAATAAATGGTGCGGCAGATAGGCAAATCTCAAAAACTTCTTCTATTTGAAATGCTGAGAACAAGACCTGAAAATATGATTTTATTCCTGCTCTTTTCTTTTGGGCTACTGAGAGAAAGCTTCAAATGTTAGCATCAAGCTAGCATTTCTCATAAGATCTGAAGATGAGGAACTGAAAGAGGAGTAAATCAATAGTTCTCTCCAGTGGGAAAAAAGGAAGCTACCGTATCTCAAAATCATCAAGAGCTTCGTAATTGCTCCTATAAGGCAGTTGAGCCACAAGTAAATCAGCTCAGCTCACCAGTGCTGATTACGTTAAGGCAGTGGTTCTCAACCTGTGGGTTGGGACCCCATTTGGGGTCGATCGACCATTTCACGGGGGTCGCCAAGCAAGGCTGTCCGCCATTTTTTTTGTCCGCCATTTTTTCCCCCTTTTCCGGCGGGTGCCTTACCTCCCTTGGGCTGGGCCAGCTGGTGGTCGGCCTGCTCCGTCTCTGCCGCTTGCCAGCTACACCTCAGCTGGTGCAGGGGGCGGAACCACGCATGCGCGGCGCTCCCGGGCAGGGAAAGTCCTCGACTTACGACCAGTTGGGTAGTCCTCGACTTACGACCGGTTTAGTCCTCGACTTACGACCGGTTTAGTCCTCGACTTACGACCGGTTGGGGTCGCGGCATTAAAAAGGTTGAGAACCACTGCGTTAAGGGGACATAGAAGCATGGAACTGCTTTCAGTCTGGTTCGGAACTCTATGGAAGGCTCCCAACTTCCAAGGTTCCTGGTCAGCATGGCCCTGTGGAGTTCAACATACTTGGAAGGCACCAGGTTAAGGAAGGCTGGTATACGTCAAAGGAAAATAAGTGGATTAATATAAGATGAAACTTAACTTTCTCACAATGAAGCTTATAATTTTTTCTGAAGGATGGATGGTAGGGAGTACCATAGGCTTAGACTACTGGGAATGAAAGAAAACATGAATAAATTCCTTATGAAGATAAGGGAGTTTCTTGTTGCTAACTCTCTTATTTAATGGTCTTCTGGAACCAGTACGAACAGTTCATACAGTTAATCACTTCCTTTATTTATTTTTTTTCAGAGCAAAAGATTCTGTAAAGCATTTTCACGTGGAATACACAGGGAATTCATACAAGTTTGGCTTCAACGAATTTTCAGATTTGAAAGACCTGATCATGCATTTTGCGAATCAGCCTCTAATAGGTAGTGAGACAGGTAATCAAAATTTTCTTTTTCTCTTTCCTTTGGAATATTTTATTGTGAAAATTGAATTTAAAGATTTTATAGTGCAGTTTTACTTTAAATTTCTCTTTTTTAATATCTTCAGATCAATCCTCCTCTTTGTAAGTGTTATAGGTTTCTGCTGCCTACAACAAAGTTCTTCATATTTAAATTAATATCTAATAATTACTTTTTGCTGTCAGATGTTCAGGCATTGCAACAGTGGTTTGTTAGTCTATATTGCATACTAGAAAATGTTTCCTAATAGGATAAATGTTATGTACATTGTGGATTCAGGATGTGAGGAGAATAGAGCACACGTTGGCTTAGAAATCACAATGCATTTAATTCAATGCTTTACAGAAAAGGCTTTTTGATTCCTTAAAGTCTCTTGCCATCAAAGGCAGGCCAGGGAAAAGAATGGCCTCAAATGAAAAAGAAGCAAAACAGCTTATAGGTAGTCCTCGACAGCTTATAGGTAGTCCTCATTTAGTGACTGTTCAAAGTTACGATAGCACTTTTTTAATGACCAGTTCCTCACACTTATGAGCTGCTTCCCCATAGTCACATGAGCAAGATTTTGGGTGCTTGGCATGTATTTACAATGGTTGCAGTGTCCCGGGATATGGTGATCACTATTTGTGACTTCCCAGGGGACTTCTGACAAGTCAATGAGGGAAGTTGGATTCATTTAATGAACATGTGATTTGCTTAACAATCATTGCAAAAAAGGTAATAAAATTGGGTGGCGGTCGCATGATGACACTTAACGATCAGCATTTTGATTATGTTCTGTAAGGTTCTCTGTGACTTTAGGGCCATCTAGAGCAGTGGTTCTCAACCTGTGGGTCGGGACCCCATTTGGGGTCGATCGACCATTTCATGGGGGTTGCCAAGCAAGGCTGTCCGCCATTTTTTTTGTCCGCCATTTTTTTTGTCCGCTATTTTTTTCCCCTTTTCCAGCGGGTGCCTTACCTCTCTTGGGGTGGGCCAGCTGGTGGTCGGCCTGCTCTGTCTCTGCCGCTTGCCAGCTACGCCTCGGCCGGCGCAGGGGGCGGAACCACGCATGCGTGGCGCTCCCGGGCAGGGAAAGTCCTCGACTTACGACCGGTTGGGTAGTCCTCGGCTTACGACCGGTTTAGTCCTTGACTTACGACCGGTTTAGTCCTCGACTTACAACCGGTTTAGTCCTCGACTTACGACCGGTTGGGGTCGCGGCATTAAAAAGGTTGAGAACCACTGATCTAGAGAGAAGAAGCATGCTCTGTAGGAATGTGAGAGGAGCCCTCTTGGGGGCCAGTTGCAGTTTGGGGATCCCCTTGCAAAGGGAGGAGTTGCAAAGTTGGATGATTCCAATGCTTTCTTCTTTTTTCTAGCAAGTGAAAAGTTTTTTTTTATTCATGCAATTCTGCAGCCTTTTTGCTGAAATAGATTTTAACTTTGTGAGTGATACTTTTTGTTTTTATGAACATGCTAAAATAGATATGTGTTATGTCTTACAGTTAATTAAGTTAAATACTTTTTCCTTCAGTATCTTTGCTCTCCTTCAGTTCTTTCTGCTGTCTTTTAATAAAAGATAAAAGGTTGCAGACACTGGCTGTTTGCATAACCAGTAGTTTTCCTATTAATAACTATATACTTTGTTAAAATCACTGCACTCTTGGATTTGCTGGACTGATTCCACAGAAGTCATTCCTTTGCAGTTCTTCTTTTGAAACCTTTGGATCCGTTCTTATACAGCTTAAAATTTTAAATAACACCATCTTGATACAAATGGCTTTGAAAGGATCAAAATGTAATCATTCAAAATGAAATCTTTTATGTATGATCCATCTTTCATGTATAACATAGTCCAGACATTGTTCCTTTATTTTTGCTTTCTGTACATGCTCCAATGTAATCTAAATTGTGCTGACCAAAGAAAAAGAAAAAGCTTTCTGCTACTTTAAAAATGTTACTGCTATAGCTTGCAACATACAGTAGCGTTCTTTTCTCTCCTTTTTCCTTGGCTCACAAATGTATCACTTCACTTCTGGCTTCTCCCTGTAGCTTTAAAATGTGTCCCTTTGCTTTTCTGCCTGCAAAGTAATAAGTGAAAGTTTCTAGGCTAGTTGCCAGCTATTGAACTATTGTGTATTCAGAGCTTAGAGATGCAGGGTTGCAACAAGCTTGACAGGTAAGGAAATTCAAACGAAAGAAGAAATCTTTAGATGCACAGAAACCTTGCAATGTTAAGAAAAAAAATCATTAGTTATAAAAGGAAGAACCTTTTTGATTTGGACATGCCTTCTCTCCTCTGTCTCACAGTGTGTGTGTGTGAGACAAGAGATTGGGACACCCAGCTGTTTCTTTGATCAAAGGAATAAAACTGTGTTCTTTCAGTAGCCTCGTGTTCAGAATCTTTTTGGATTTATCAGAATTCTAAGCTGAAAAAGCTTGTAGTTTAGTTTGGTTTGGCTAAAATGCTGTATGTAATAGATTTGGGATAAGTACTGATGTTACCCTTACTTAATTTTATTACACAAGTAAATACGTGAATAGATCATTCCAGGTGGCTTAAGAAAGCATTTGAAAAGATAGGGAGGCAATTGAGTTAAAGACCAGAAATGGTTTAATCTTGTTCAAGTGTCAAGTCTATTTCCTGATACAAGTGTTAAAACTCATTGACTGACCCCAACCTACAGAGTGCCTAGAAACTTGAGCTCTGTTGTTACAGTCCCTAAATAGGTTGCTATTTAACACAAGATATGGTTCAGATTTTTGATGAGCAACTACTACTGGAGCAGGTCCAGATGAAGAAGAGGCTCCCATTATCAACTCATTATGTGTCAAGTAAGATCAATGGGCTGAACTTTAAGAATGCTAAACTTTAAAGTATCTGGCCATTCTGAGAAAAGAAAAGATGATAAGGAGCAATAAGCTCTCTGTACGGTTTTGTTCTGCTTTGTTTTTTTGACAAAATCACTTCAGTGTGGTTTTGTTTTAAGAGAACTCTCCCTTTGCGCAGATTAGGTCCTACTATACTTTTGTTCAAATCCTTCAAATCCTTTGCTTTTCTATACTCAGGATCAGGCACTGTGATATTGAGATTCAATTTAAACACATTTGAGGATTCCCTGATTTATAGGGCACATGCAAATCATTGGGAATGCTTTAAGATGACAAATATCCTGCAGTGATCATCCAGTCTTTTTTCTTTTTATTTTTTAATAAATATTTTATTAATTTTCTGGTTTTACAATCATAAATACTTAATAAACAACATGTTATCTGGGTCCATCAGTAATTCAGTGGTATATATTAACTTCCTCAATCTAGGTACAATACTACACCATCCAGTGCTCCCTCTCTTCTTCCGGTGTTATACATTTTCTGTACTAGGCTAATACAATTCTTATTGCTGTTAATACATATACAATTGAATATCAGCATCTTTGTTACATTTTTCTAATATTATATATAATAACAGTAGTGTCAGTTTAAAATATCTTTTCTAACCAAAACATATCTCAATTGCATTTGCACTTAATATCCATTTGTTCAATCAATATCCTGTTTTTCTGCTTTTTAAAAATTTTTTGATTTCCCATCAGTGTTCAAGGTATCTCTATCACTTATAATTTTCTCATAATAAATTATATTTGTGCAACCAAAGGCTTCCCTTGTTCAAAACCTCTTAGCATTTTCATATTTCCCTTCTCATACCAAAATGTAAAATTCTAGTTATAAATCCTATCTTTCTAGTTCTAATAGCACTTCTATTTCTAACAATTATCTATTCTCTTAGCCATATTCAAACATCTCTTTAATAGTATGATATCCCATCTAATGGGTCAGGACCTCTATTTTCTTCAATCTTACTCTAGCTTTCTTCCTTTGCCAACTAACTTTCCAGGTCAATACCTTTGAATCATCAGGTAGTTCTTCCTCTATTTTTGTGTATATTGTTTGGAATAAGTAAAACAATTTGATTAAAGTATTTTTGGAAGATTGCTCAGCCCGTTGATATTAATTAAACAGCCTCCCTCCTTCTCCAATTTCCCACAATTCTTCTAACAGCTTTATCTTGCATTCGATCAGCTCTTCTTCCTTATCCTCAAGAGTGTTCTGAGATCTTGACAGTAAGATGTTTTTTCCGTTTCTGGTATTATCACTACGTCTTCTAATTCTTCATTTGTCTGAGTCTGTTTGTTAATTCCTTCCTTTAGGTCCTCCATCTTTGGATCCGCTTCCTCTAATTTTCCTTCAATTTTCTCGGTTACTAGTTTCATCTTTATAGTCATTTTCTGAATTTGTGGAATTAGATTAGAAAATTGTTCTTTTATCTTCTTTGTGTTATTTTTAGTCTCATCATGAGCTAAGGCAATTGTCTCTTGTATTAACACCCTAATCAACAACTAAAAGCTGCATACCACCATGAACTATAGGTAATCCTTGACTTATGACCCCTATTGTGCCCAAAATTTCCATTACTAAGTGAGACAGTTGGTAAGTGAGTTTTGCCTCATTTTATGACCTTCCTTCCCACAATTGTTGAATGACTCACTGCAATTGTTAAATTGATTACATGGTTGTTAAATTAATCTGGCTTCCTCATTGACTTTGCTTGTCAGAAGGTCATAAAAGGGAATCATATGACCCTGGGACTCTGCAATCATCATAAATATGAATCAGTTGCCAAGTGGCAGCATTTTGATCATGTGACCACAAGGATGCTGCAATGGTCATAACTGTGAAAAACAGTCATAAATTACTTTTTTCAAAGCTGTTGTAACTTTGAACGGTCACTAAATGAATTACCTGTATATAAATGCAATGTGTAGAACAGCCCAGAGAGAGAAGGGCCCTCAACTTCAACCAACCTAGAACTAAAGAGAAATCTCCTAGTTTATTCTTTGCTGTCCTTCATTAAGAGCACAAAATAATTGTACAATTAAAAATCTATTTATTTATGCTTCCAAAATACAGGTAGTCCTCAACTTATGACCACAGCTGAGCCCAAAATTTCTGTTATTAAGCGAAACATTTGTTAAGTGAGTCTCGCCCCATTTTACGATCTTTCTTACCACAGTTGCTAAGTGAACCACTGCAGTTGTTAAGTAACACGCTTGTTGAGTGAATCTGGCTTCCCCATTGACTTTGCTTGTCAGAAGGATGCAAAAGGGAATCACAGGACTCCGGGACACAGCAACCATCATAAATACGAGTCAGTTGTCAATCGTATGAATTATAATTATGTGACTATGGGGATACTGCAATGGTCATAGGTATGAGAAACCATTGTAAGTCACTTTTTTAGTGCTGTTGTAAGTTTGGACGGTCACTAAACAAACGGTTGTAAGTTGAGAACTACCTGCACATTATTTCCAAAGATAGAATCAATCAGATCATGGGCAAAATCAGAGGCTTGATACAGGTAGTCCTTGATTTATAATCATTCATTTAGTGAGCAAAAATACAATGGCACTCAAAAAAGTGATTGCAACTTTCCTCACACTTATGACCATCACAGCATCTTTGTGATCATGTCCTCAAAATTTGGGCATTTGGCAGCCAGCATGTTTTTATAATGGTTGCAGCATCCTGGGATCACGTGATCTCCAGTTGCAACCTTCTAGCTGGTTTCTGACAAGCAAAGTCAATGGGGGAAGCAAGATTCGCTTAATGATCAGATGCTTCACTTAACTGCAGTGATTTGCTTAACAACCATGGCAAAAACAAGGTTGTAAAATTGGGCATAATAATCACCTTGCTTAGGAACCAAAATTCTGAACTTAATTATGGTCATAAGTTGAGGACTACCTGTAGATACCAACTTGTTGAAGCTAGGTAGATTTAATTTCCATTCATATTTGAATGGGAAAATACTTGGTATCCTATGAATAGTGATGCAAATTGCCCAGTTCAAATACTAACTTCCCCCAATTTGCTGGTTATGGTATCATCCATTAGAATTTTATTTATTCAAGAACCCTAGAAACAGCCTCACTCTTTTAGAAAGATCATCTACTCCAGTCCTAAACTAACAGAAATTGTTTCTCTTGGCTTGTATCTAAGATGTACTATATATTATTGCCTAGGAATCTGCTTTTATTCTTTCTCTTCCTTCTCCTCCTTATAGTTTATTGTTCATTCAGTTCTAAATATTTTTTAATGCACCTTGTACATTATTATAGTTTTTCTTCATCACCAGCAATCCTGCCATCTGTTATATCTGTTAACAGTCAAGAAATTCACACTGTATAATAGTGAATTTGATCTCCAGTGTTGAATGATAGACTTGGCCTATGGTTTAGCAGCTCCCAAATCAGATTCTGCTGGCTCTGTGAAACTCCTTTCACGTTCTTAAAATGAAAAGTGCCACCAGCTGGGAGATAGGTGTTAGACCTCATAATAGCTATGATCCCTTCCATGTTATTTTTCTATATGAAGCAATGCATAGAAAAGGAAAGTTAACAGCAGAAGAAAAAAAAAGAATTACCATAATAGCCCAAACTCCACAAAGTAGATTGAATACGTGTCCAAGGATCCAATCTGTGTCGGTCACTGGAACCAGAGGTTTTTGTCTTCTGAGCTTTCTGATTCGTGCTGGAACCCATCTTCAGGGAACTTCTCCCTAACAGAATGCGTGCTAGAGAGAAGTTCCCTGAAGATGGGCTCCAGCATGAGTCCAATAGCTCAGAAGACAAAACTTCTGGTCCCGGTGACCGATCCAGATTGGATCCTGCATTGATAGAGTATATTTCCCTTTCCATAGACCAGAGAACAATCTGGAATGAAACTCTTTCATGGTTACAGATAATGGATAATTTTATTTGAAATATCAACTGTTTCATTTGATTTTGAGGATTAAACCTTTATAACATGAAGCAATATTTAAAAGCACTTTAAAAAGGAACGTTTTAAATATTTATTAAAAAATAAGCAAAAACATGACAAGTCCTTAATTTCATAACATATGGACAGACCCAACCATAGTTTCAACTGAGAGACTGTAAGCATCCCAGACCAAGATAAATAAAAAAATGATAGGAAATTCCTACATGCTGAGACAAAGCAGTCATCAAGAGATACAGAGAGATAAACCAAATTTACACACCATTCAAAATAGACAATAAAAAAACTAAAAAGGAAACAAAAAGATAAGAACACATCTTCACGCAGATAAACAGGGAGTAACACTGTTTATCAATCAAGGAGAAAAGAGTACCCTAATCAAGGAACTAATAAGGAGACCCCCTCTCCCTGCCCTTGCCAAACATTGGCAGATCAAATTACTATGTATAAACATGCACTAGTACTGCTTATGTCAGGTAACAAAATGTCTGCAAGCAAAGATCCAAGCTTAAAGAGCATCAAGGACTCTATAATAAGTAAGGTGTCCTTTGAGTCAAATTCAGCAGGTGATTTCATGGAGATGCCATGTAGTTTTCTTGGCAACAATATAGAAATTGCTGGTCACTACCTTTTTCTGGGATGCTTGTTCAATTCCTAAGTAGCCGACAACTCTAGGATTCCCTGGTAGACCCTTCTTCGTGTAGTAACTTGTTTAGGTTTTACAATTAAGTAAGATATCTACTGTATGTGCTGCACCTTGTTGAGGCTTTATTTATTATTTAGCTGGGAA